GTGCGTGCGTGTGTGTGTGTGTGTGTGTGAAGGGGGCGGGGGGAACCCTCAGTCGACGTATCCATCCAGGAAGAATTTTGTCCACAGCTCAAGGCCTTGTAGGGGAGAGCCAAATTCTGTAATCAGTTATTTGGGAACAGAAGAGAGTGTTTTGAGTCAGGCAGACAACAATTTTCCATCTGCCTTCATGTCTGCTGGTACAACTCAAAGTGGCAAATCCAATCAGACAAATAGTGTGGACAATTCTGCCGAGCCATGCTATCAGTTTTCTCCAAGATCAATTCCATCTGGCCAGCAAAGTCCAGGAACCAAAGCAGGCCCGCAACCCTCAGCAGAACCGCTTGCAGACCGAGTCCAGCTCGCTCAAGGCAAAAATCTGAGTGCTGATAGAACGACCATCGATCATATTGGTCAGGCAGCCAGGAAATGAAAAGCCGCCAATGCTGTTTTGTAGAACACCAGGGGCCTCATGTATAAACGGTGTGTACGTATAAAAAAGTTACGTGCGCCAGGTTCTACGTCCATGTTGTGATGTATAAAAACCAACGTTGCGTGAAAGTGTGCTTATATATACACACACTTTTCACCTGCCGTGAGAATGTACAGCAGCCACGCAAAGTTTTTCAATCGAAAGTTTTAAATCACAAAGTCACGAATCTGACCTGAATCCACAGAAATATGACTCTGTTCTGTTTTCTGGATGTAAGGAGCATCTGAACACGGTGTCAGATTTTTTTTAGTTTGAGTTTTCATTGTTTAAACTCGAACGATCATGAAATTGAACCCCGGGACTGAAAATCATTTAACCTCAGACAAGAAAATAGATCAGTCTAAAAATGATCAAAAGAACCTCAGTCCAGTCGTAAACTGTAAAGTTTTCTTTTTGTCACATAGTTGGAAACCTTTCGCGTGGGGGTGGTGTGGGGTGGGGGTCCATGGAGATGACAGCGCCTGCTGTAACACGCAGCCGGAAACGAGAGAGGAAAAAGTGGATTACGTGATGTTTTATTTTTATTTTTATTTTGTTTTGTTTTGTTTTTTAACGTCAGTTCAATGCCTTGTTCAACTAAATAGACAATGTCCTGATGCATCTCAGTAATACAGGTAAAAAATCAAAAAGAAAAAAATTGTATAGGTCTTCTGGAC